TTAGCCCTCTAAGCTTTAACATAAGTTATCACATAACCTCCATACAATGCCTCAACGATCTTGATAATTGTCCTAACCTTCATGTTAGGTTTTCCCAGCAATATTCAAATCAATCGCTTGGCAATGAGGGTAGATGTCAACTACCGATGCTTCAGTGTCAGCTCATGGTCAGCATAATTGTGTGGCCCGACAACTTTTGTGATCTTCCACTTTCCGGTGACCTTTTGCTTCCTTGCACAAACCCTCCATGGGCAGCGTTCCTTATCACATACAACTGTGTAACAGCGCTCCGCATATGAATGCAAGACCTTGTAAGGTCTCTTTAGTATCACTGCAAACTCCCGCAACCACCTCTTCAATGCAGGGAGGTCCTTGAATACCCTCCCATTCTCAATTAACATGTTAGGGCCGTCCTCATGAGCTTCTAGGAGCTCATCATCACGTCCTTCTGCACACGCCTGATCAAAATGAGCAAGATCGCTGAACTCGTGAACTCTTAGATCACGACGGTCGAGAAAGATACGCCTCAGTATCTCAACATCACTCTCTGTCAGCTCTCCAACAAGGCGATCATCATCAGAATCAAGAGCCCTTGCCATCTCATATGGCTCTGAATCATTCATAATTTCAACACTATTGGAGCCAAGGAATCCATCTTCACAGTGCACTTGCGCAGCAACAAGGGGCACATCCACATTCTCAGGAATGTCTCCTGCAACATAAGTAGAGAAATAAGGAAAGAATGAAAGAAATGGATGTAAGGAAGGGGGTAAGCTCCCAATAACCATGCGGTTAAGACACTTACTCGGATGATTCTGTGTCAAAGGGATCTCATGAGGAGGATCTACCACAACAACATGAGTCTGACAAGCATCTCCAACTACCGCATTGGGGCAGATTGAGCATCGAGAATTGTAGGTGCAACCTCCACATCCATATCAGGTTTCGGTATGGGATGGTCGATGTGTGCCTGTTGACCCATTGGTGGTGAAAACCCATGAGGGATGGGATCAACTAACACCTGATGCACAATCATGTCCAAACATTGCAGCTGGCTCTTCATAGCCGATCTCACATAGTTCTCCCACTGATCTACACACCCAATTGGGATCATTCGCCTGAGGATGTTAGGAGGAGAACCTAGGTGCAGTATACCCTCAACTGCAATGTCATCATCTCCAAGGCAATGCAGTTCCTCCTGAACCCTTACAACTATCTCACTAAATGAAGGCCTATCATTGAATAGCACAGGCACGCTTTACATATCAACAAACTCAACATATCCATAGCGATCATATTCAACGGTGCCTCCATGATATATGGTCACTAGGTTGTCCATCTAGTTCAAACACATAACGAAACACATGTCCTTTAGTCTAAATTAGACGATAGCTGGTACCTAACAAGTACTTTTTAACTATAAACTAAGTAAATAAGATAATAACTACCTACATAGATACAATGTACTCACTAAATAGCTACATCCCATTTAATTAACAAAATATATAACTACCTATCTAAGTAGCTATCTAACTATATGTATGTACATATGTATCTATGTTTCTATCTCACTAGATCACTAACTAAATCAACTACCTGAGTCATCACATTAACTAGTAAATAATAAATGCTAAAACTACTATACTACAATCAAAGCTAACTAAGTACGTATATTGTATATTCACAATTTTTTACCTTTCCAACAACTAAGTCACGGACGTCGACGGAGTCGCACAGACGTCGGGCGTGGGTGAGGCCGACGAGTCGGGCCGGCGGTGGCATGGCCGAGCGCTACAGGGGCTGGGGCCGGCAATGGCACGCGACGGGCGTGGGATGGCCGGCGCTTCGCGCGGCGAGACCGGCATGGTGGGCGCAAGCAGCACGGCGGGCGTGGCTGGCAAGGCGGGCGCAGGCGACACGACACTACACAGTAAGGCGGTCGTGCGCGCGGGCGGCGGCGCGCTGGTTCGAGCGTGGGCGGCGTCCCTGTTGGTGTGTGAGAGAGAAGGAGAGCAAGAGAGAAAGAAAAGAAGGGCCCATACATAAGGCAGGCTTGGCGCCAGAGACCCTAGCGCCAAGCTCGGTGTCAAGATCTACGACGCCAAGCTTGGCGCCAAGATCTATAGCGTCGAGCTCGGCACTAGGGTCTCGGGCGCCGAGCTGCCTGCCATGTCACCGCCACGTCTACGTCGAGCCCAAGAGCTCGACACCAGTAACGATGGCGCCGAGACGTGTAAGCCGAGCTAAGGGTCCAAATTTTGAAATCTTACCTTTAGGGTCATATTTGTGAAAAAATTTGAAAAAAGTCTACTTAACCCCCCACATTTAATATATGGTCTACTCCACCCATCAACTATGAAACCGTATGTTTTATCCCTTGAACTTTCTAAAACCGTCTATTTTGTCCCTCCGGGCGGTTTTTGACAGCGGTTTTACTACAGTAGCAGCGGGTTTGCTAGAGTAACGGTGGGTTTGCTACAGTGCCGATGGGTTTGAATTTTCTTTTTTTTTTATTTATTTTCGGTGAATTTTTGAAAAATCATAGTAAATCATAAAAAAATCATAAAATAAAAAATCTAATTTTATTGGACTCCACATGAGTAGATCTACACAGTGAATATATAATATGGTATGCTTTAGTATAAATTTTTTTTGTAGCTTTAGATTAATTGGAAAATCCAATTTTTTCTGTAATTAATTAGAATTTATCTATAACTAAATTATACATAGTTCAATGAGTACGAAATTTTTACTATAGTTCAAGCATACAATAATTAGCGTACTATAAAAATTTCACCATAATTAGACCATAGAAGCTGCAGCTATGAATTATTCCAATTAATTACATACAAAATTAGATTTTTCAATTAATCTAAGGCTGCCGTAAAAATTTTGTACTAAAGCATACCGTTATTATATATTCACTGTGTAGATCTACTCATGTGGAGTCCAATAAAATTAGATTTTTCATTTTATGATTTTTCTATGATTTACTATGAGTTTTCAAAAATTCACCGAAAAAAAAAAATCAAACCACCGACGCTGTAACAAACCCATTATTGTTGTAGCAAACCAGCTGTTACTGTAGCAAAACCGCTGTAAAAAACCGCCCCGAGGGGTAAAATAGACGGTTTTGAAAAGTTTAGGGGATAAAACAGACGGTTTCATAGTTGGGGGTGAAGTAAACCATGTATGAAAGGTGGGGGATTAAATAGATTTTTTTTAAAAAAATTCAAAAAAAGGCTAAAAAATAAAAAAAATCGTCCCGGGTGGCGGCTATCCGCCTGCCGACCCCCTCCCCCCAACTGAATATAATTTGTTGCCCACGCGTAATTAGGCCGAATTCACTACTTCCGCGCACAGCGCAGCCCACCAAAGCAACAGCCATGCACTAGAGCAAAAAAAATCTAACGTCAGCACATCCCATGTTTTTTGAAACAAAAAAAAGTCGTAGCTCATAAATCAAGTATCCTAACTAAAATCCGATTACGCCATCGTGTTCTTGTAATAAACTTCAAAACAAGACTCTACATGGATATATTTCGATAAAAAATTTTAACGAACATTTATCCCATGATAAATTTGTATTTAAAGAAAATCGTCGAACATAACATTAATACTATACGAACATCACAAAAAATAGAATAGAACATCATATGTATACTACGTGAACTTCACATATATAATGAAATATAAAAATAAAAAAATAAAAAAATAAAATTAGTGAAGTAATTAATTATAATCAAATAAAAAAATGCTACCGAACATCAAATATATCTTAGAACATCACATTAACACTACACGAACATCACTAAATATAGCATATAACATCATATATATATACTACGTGAATATCACAAATATCATAAAATGTAAAATAAAATAATTAAATTAGTGAAGTAATTAATTAGAGTAAAAAAAAGAAGAGAAAAAAGCTACCGAACATCACAAATATATCATAGAACATCAATGTATGCGTACTGAACATCACAAAATACATCGTAGAACATCACATTTCCACTCATGGACATAAAAAAATACGTAATAAAACATCACATGTATACTTTATGAACATCACGTGTACCTGTAAATAAAAAAAGTGAAACATAAAATTATGGATAGAAAAAAAAGAAAAGAAAAATAAATGAATGAAAGGAAATAAAAAAAGGAAAAGTAAAAACACACAATAGAAAAAGAAAATAGAAAATGGAAACAAGAATAATAAAAGACCACCGAAAAAGGAAAATAAAAAAAGAAAGAAAAGGAAAAAAGAAATAGAAGAAAAGAAAAGAAAATTTTAAAAGGAATAAATAAATGATAAAAAGAAAGAAAAATAAGAAAGGACAAAAAGAAAAATATACCTGAACGGCATCTCAGAGTCAAAATAAAAAAAAGAGAAACGTACGTTGAAAGAAAAAGAAATATAATAAAAAATGAAATAAGAAATAATAAAAAAAGAAAAGAAGAGAAAACTTACGTACCTGACGGACGTCGGGGAACGGAGTTGCTCGCTCGCTCGTACGGTGCATGGGCCAGATTTGCTTGTGGGCCGCGTTCGTAGCATCCAGATTCACGGAAGAGTTCAGGGGGGTCGGCGGCGGGCTTCTGTCCGACTCACTTTCTATCTAAATATGACCGAAACCTGTTTTTTTTTTATATATGATTTTTTTATTCCAGACCATTTTAATTCGCTCTCACCGGAAGTCAAACCCAGGCCTGCTCAGGTGCTCTAACCACTAGGCTAGCCTTTGGCTTCTAGCTACAATATGACACGTGTGAAACGGCAAACAGAAGCTACATAGTTCAGTCGGAGATTCAGAACCAATCCTCCGCTCCCCTGTTAAGACATTTACACAGAGATCTCAAATTTAGCTTCCTCGCAAATGATCTGATCAACAAGAAGTTCAATCGTTCTCAAAACGAAGCTACTGCTGCAACGGAACAAGGGGAAAAAATTGCTTCGTTGCAGTGCCCATATCACAGAACTTTGTGAGTCATAATTAGTTTGCCAAAATGGAGTCATCATAAGCACGTGCCTTACTTCCTAACCTATCATGTATCATGCCATCATATACTACACAACCTTGCCGAAGTGCATCCACCGTACCCCTCCGACTGAATGGTTCTTGAAAACTGCAAGGAGAAAACCCAATCCCACCATCTAACTGTAGTATCCCACAAAAGATGATCCATTATACTTCCATCTAGAAGGGCAAATCTTGTGGTGGTCATCCGAATATTATGCCGCGGTCGCTTTACCCTGATTGTAAGCAGAAGAAATGCAAGTTAGCTTAGCAAATTGCTGGAGCTGGACTTCAGTTTAAGGTACAAGGTCAACTATGTACCTGCTTGAGCTTCTGTTGGAAGAGCGTTTGAACTTCTCTCCGGAGGGCATCAACCTCCACAGCAAACTCCTTTTGATCCTCTGGTGTCAAGTCCTCCAATTGTACCCCTAGTCTGAGCAGTACATTATTGAGATCATAGAACTCAAAATCCTCCACATCAGTTGAGGAAAGTTTCAGTAGACTCTTAATGGCCAATAAAACCTGCACGGAAAGGATCAGATAACTAAGTAGGTGAAACAAGCTAGTTTTTATGGACGGTATAAATCTCATGAAGTGCAGTAGCCACTCGATCTCTGAACACCCAGACACATTGTAGCCTAGACCTTCCCAATCAGAGCTTCAGATATAAATGAGTGCCTGAGGCACAAATTAATGAAGGAGAATAGCATGACAACCTAAGAAAATAAGTTGTTTGCATAGACCGGTAAAAACAGAAACCATGAACAAAGTGTTATAGGTACTAGTAGTTTAGTAGTAACATATGCACCTATGCCAATAACTCCAAAACCAAAACATATCTTCAAGACTTCAACGACAACCAATGACAAGGCAATTTTGTTGCATCACCAAAAATGCCTATTTAAGCATGTAGTGCCAAGATTATCAGCTTGACAGACTTTTTTAGGTAAAATGACAATATTAGTATGCTAAAGTAATAACTTTCATAAAAAATGTGACTGCGCAGCTAAATAATGGTAACAACAAGCATGTTCAGAATAATAGGAACTGGAAGCAATTCCAATCTTACCTTTTCCTGAAGGTCTAGGTCAAACCTTGATAACATATCGACTATTGATTTCAGAAAAAGACGGTCACTCAAGAAAGGAAGTTGCGCGATTCCAGAATTTAGCTGAAAGTCTGCCAAATCTGTTACTAAAAACACTGCCTTCTTCTGTAACCTAACATCAATATTGTTGCTGACCAATATGTGCTGCAGAACAGGTGAAGTTGTCAGATGTCAGCCAATTCTGTGTCCATATTTTGAAGTTAAAAATTGTCATTACCTGCAACATTGCACTCCCATTTTCTGAATGGAATGCCTCTTGACCATTTACATTATTTCTGATCAAAGATGATATAGCATACAATGCTTTTGCAGCTTCTTCTGTAGATGTGGAATAACCCATCTTCACCAACCTCACCAAAGCTCCGTAACCAAGGATCTAACCAAGGATAAAGCGGTCGGTATTAGCTAAATGCCTAAATGTAACATCAGGACATACTGCACAACTACAAGCAGAAAGTCATGATCAAAATTCAAAAGTACTTTCAATGGAAAGGCACCACTGTGATCTGAGCAGAAACACAGGAGGGAAACAATTGCTAGTAAGAAATCTACCGATCACCTTATTACCAATAAAAATATTGAAAAGGGAAAGCATTCACAATTGCAAGAGCGAAATGCCACACAGGCTAAACATCATTTTCAAACACATGTAATTAAGTTATAAAGCTAATCACAGTAACATGGTTTTTTGTTGTCTTACACATGTTACCACACTTCTTTGCCATCCTTAGGCAAGATTTGGCCAAAGAACATGTCTATGACATGTGGCAAAGTGTAACAAGCAGCAAACCACAATTGTGGTAGTGAACCAAACACTCCACCTAAGAAACTATGGCATGGCTAATGTTTGCCATAGCAAAGCTTGGCAACCAACCAAACAAATCAGAATCTGCAAATTTTGCATTCTAAGAAAGAATGTACTCAGAAGACTTGTACAAGATAATGACTGTATACAAACGGCATAATAGTGGAATCAGAATGCATTCTTGAATGATCAATGATGTATGCAATTACCTGGTTTTGTACAAGTTCATTATTCTGACTGGCTGTACCAAGGACCCATGCAGAGGTGGTCCGTATTTCTTCATTTGCATTATTAAGCTCTTGAATCACAGGAAGGAGGACCCCAAGTTTGTCAAGATCTAAGAATGTGCAGGAACAACATATAGTATCAGAAAATCTTAGAAGAAGTTACACTCATAAATATCAAATAATACACAGGAGAGCATGCTGTCATGCCTTGTTTTCTTTCCTGAAAGACATATTTGCAAGTTGTTATGGTTATGCTAACCATTTTCAGAAATGCAATGCAAGTGACCACTTCAAAGAATGCCTTTTCTGGAAAGTGGTGAATTGTATGCTTCAAGCATGGGTGATCTTAGGGGAAAAAATTAACACAAGTCTAAAACAGTGGCTACATTATGTTAGCAGCCTAGAGCCCTAGACTCTAAAGGTGATACAGTAGATGTCTCAGTTTTCTGTGGATATAAATATATTTTGGTTGATATGCAGAGCAGCAATTAGCACACAGATGGACTGAAAAAAAAAGAAAGGCAGAATTACCATTAGCATTGTCAATGGGCTCCACAAGAACTAAAAGTTCCTGCAGTGCACGCTGGCGATCCTCCAGTGAAATGGAAAAATTATTTAAGTCATCAATTGCAATTTTCATTAAGTCAGCATCTGATGGCATCTTTAACTTCTCCATCAACTCCTGCAAAAAAAAAATCAGCATAATGTACAACCATGTTTTAAGCTTTGTTTTTCATCTTAATAGAGAAGGACCAGCTGCCTGACTAAGCTGCACAATTTTTCATCTTAATAGAGAAGGACCAGAGCGCCTGACTATGACAGCAATGCGAGGAGCACACCGGGACCTTCCATGCGGTAAGAATTTGTGCCCCAATTTGTCCTGACAAAAATAAGGACTAATAGCAAAAGCTTTATATTTTCTATGGCCAATAACCGCCTGCGGTCAAACAAATGTCTCGAGCAAAATTCAATTCATACAAAGTTTTACAACTACCAAGAACATGCTAATAACTTGGAGACACTCCAGGAATAAGGATGTTGAGAATTCAGAAATAATACAATTATACAACAATCGTGACAGATCAAAGTTTGTTCGTCGATGTGGTGGTAGTCCAAATGACAGAGCAACCACAAGAGGAATCATGTCCCAAGGTCCAACCACAAAAGAACTGAGTCACCTGCTAGAGGTATATGTTGTACAGTACACCAGAGTGCTCCAGAAAAACATGCCAGAGTCTTATGTATGCAGCCCAAGTGATACAACTGACTAGCAAAACAACTAAGATGAAGCAATATAACAGGCCATAAAGCTGATAATAAATTACCAGAGGTCAGAACGCTGAAGCAGTGAAGCAGCATTTTTTACCTTGATCTCCTGACGCCGCTTGAGCAGTTCATCTTCAGATAACTTTTGCGCATCAGCCGCCTCCTCTTTCAGCTTCTCTGGATCAGAATTTCCTGCCCCACCAGGACGAGATAGAAATTAGAATTCAGCAAAATACAGACATGTCTTCATAGGCCCAAACCCAACCAATCTGTACACCGAAAATGCAACATCGACTCGAAGCCATCCTATCACTATACAGCGATTTGCAGGATCCACAAACGTGATCTTTCCCTGTCCAATTGAAATGTCTAAAGCAAATCGAAAGATTGTACAACAAAATTAGGGGGGCTTTGGGTTTTCCGTACCGATCGCCCACTGCAGCATGCTGTCGAGGGAGCCGAAGCCACCCGCGAACTCGTCCTCCTCCACCGACCCGCCTCCACCAGCATCCCCCTCCGCGACCAGCTTCCCCTCGTCCTTGCCGACCGCCAACTGCTTCCCGCCCCCCAGCGCCGACACCCCGTCCCCCTCCGCCACCGCCACGGTTGCCGCCGCCGGCACGAGCATCGGGAGGAGAATGGAGACGGATAGGACAGCCGCGACGAGTAGTTGGTGGGTGGGTCGCTTCGAAGGGTGTGCTCTTCCCTTCGCCATGGCTCGACAGATGGACAGAGGCTTTGAGAGTCGACTGGAGCAGCAGCCGCAGTGGAGAGGGGAAGGGAGCTCGAGATTTGAATTTTCGAAATCACGGGGGTGGTTTGTGGATTTATATAGTTCGGGAAATGATTTTTCGGGTAAGTACATGCCTTTCAAGTATTTTAATTAGGATCTGATTTCCATGTTGATAGGTACTTATCTCAAATTTTGAACATTTACAGGGATGACTTTGCAGAGGTTATGCGAGTGGGCTCGGAGATCCGTGTTCGGGCGCCTCCCATTGGTCGGGTGACATCACGTCCGAGCATCTCCATCTGATGCTGGAGGGCTTCAAAATTAGACCGCTCGTTCGTAGGTAAACTCAGACTCTGCCCCTTTGCAACGCGGTTTTTTTTTCTATTCCTGCGTTTTTCCGTGAAAAATGAACTAAATCATGTGAAATTTTTGTAGAATTTCTATAAAATTCCTGCATTCCAAATGAGCCCTAAGACTTGTGATATTGCATGATCTGTAACTATAAGAGCAACTCCAGCAAGGACACCCAAATCTAATTTGGGTGCTACCCTACTTTTGTTGGTTCTAGTTTTGTGCTTTAATGCCAACAGCAGCACCTAAATCTGACCCCCAAATATATTTCGGTAGAGAATGACAGATGGGACCCGCTCGTCATCGTCTCTTTCTTCTTCCTCTTTCTTCCTCCTCTGTACAGGGACCGGAGATGGATTCAACTGGAGTAGCGGCCTGCGCCCATGCGCCAGAGGGCCGGGGCCGCTTGCGTGACGGGGTGGCACGCCCGTGCGTCGGTTGGCGGAGTGTCAGGGCCGCTCGCGTGCTGTGGAAGGGCGGGACCGCTCGCGTGGTGGGGCAGCCAGAGGGGAGGGCACCGCCAGAGCTCGCTGCTGGAGCTTGTTGTGGGCAATCACCGGCTCTCGTCCGCCCCGCCGAGGGAACAACGACCGCTGTGGCATCACGCCCGTTGGGAAGCCGCGATCGCCGTCATGGAGTCGCACCCACTGAAAGCTCTAATTTGGTTTTGGTGAATTGATGAAACCCTAAGTGCTAACCTAATTTATCAAGTGATCATGAGATAGGTAGCACATTTCAAGTGGTGAAGCAAATGAAGATCATGACATGATGATGGTGATGCCATGGTGATGATCAAGTGCTTAGACTTGAAAAGAAGAAAGAGAAAAACAAAAGGCTCAAGGCAAAGGTATAAATGGTAGGAGCCATTTTGTTTTGGTGATCGAGACACTTAGCGAGTGCGATCACATTTAGGATTGATAGCCGTACTATAAAGAGGGGTGAAACTCATATCGAAATGCGGTTATCAAAGCGCCACTAGATGCTCTAACTCATTGCATATGCATTTAGGATCTAGTGGAGTGCTAACACCCTTGAAATGTTTGTGAAAATATGCTAACACATATGCACAAGATGATACACTTGGTGGTTGGCACATTTGAGCAAGAGTGAAGAAGATAGAGTTGAAAATGAGCTAGTCACGCTGGTCACGCAGTGACCGGACACTAAGGTCCTGCGTCCAGTCAATAAAAGAAGTAAAGATGCTGGCGTCGGTCATCGACCAGACGCTGGGTCACATAGTGACCGGACGCTGATGAGGTGCGTCCGGTCCTACTGATGTGGCAGCGCACAGGGGAGTCACCGTGTGACCGGACGCTGGGTGAGTCCGGTCAAGCATGACCGGACGCGTCCGGTCGTGAAAAGTCATCTCTGAATGCTTACTGGAAACGACCGGACGCTGGGGTTCAGCGTCCGGTCACTTTGAGCTGTTGCATCCGGTCATCACTTGACCGTTGAGATCGAGCGATCGGCATTTGAAGAGAGGGGACATGTGGCACGCATCGCGTGACCGGACGCTGAGGTCCAGCGTCCGGTCAATATGACCTGAGTGTTCGGTCACCCCGTGTTGTGCCCAGTGAAGGGGTACAATGACTCCATTTCGTGGGGGCTTCTATTTAAGCCCTATTGCTAGCTCAAGCTCACACTCTTGGCCATTTGCATTGACATAGCAACCTTGTGAGCTTAGCTAAAGCCCTCTCACTCATCTCCATCATTGATTCATCATCTTTGTGATATTGGAAGAGAATCCAAGTGCATTGCTTGAGTGTTTGCATCTAGAGGCACTTGGTGTTCGTATTTTGCTGCGGGATTCGCTTGTTACTCTTGGTGGTTGCCGCCACCTAGACAGCTTGGAGCAGTGAGGATCGTCAAGCGGAGGTTGGTGATTATCTCCGGCTCCGATCGTGGTGATTGTGAGGGGTTCTTAACCTTTCCTCGGCGGAGAGCCAAAAGGTACTCTAGTGGATTGCTCGTGGCTTATGTGATCCTCATCTTGTGTTGGGTGTGCGGCACCCTATTGAGGATTTGGCATGTGATGCTAATTAGCGCGTGAACTTTCAAGTGAGTGAATCGTCAGAACGAGGAGTAGCTTGCCGGCAAGGAAGTGAACCTTGATAAAAAATCATTGTATTCATTATTTGATTCCAAGGTGATTGGTCTTCATTGATATTGATTCTTGTGATTGATTGGTTCACTCCTCGACACGGCGGTATAACTATCTTTCTCTCTCTCTTTATATTACCGCAAACTAGTTATCAAGCTCTTTAGTGTAGCTTGTTGTGAGAGCTTGTTAGTTTGGTTAGTGTGGCTTTTTAGTTAGTCTTTGAGAGCACACTAATTTAGTGTAGTGCCATAGCTATTGTGTGGTTAGAGACAATAGAAACTAAAATTATGGTAGGTGGCTTACAGTTTTAGTAGACTAGCGCAACACTTGTTTCGCCTCATAATTATCTAACCGGTTTGTTAAGTGTTGTTGTAGAAATTTTTATTAGGCTATTCATCCCCCTCTAGCCATTAGGACCTTTCAAGTGGTATCGGAGTCGAGATCACAATGATTTGAGGCTTAACAACCTTCGGTGTAAAAATGGCTCAAATCAACAACACCAAGAAGCCACCCCAATTTGATGGCATAAATTATCCGTATTGGAAATCAAAGATGACCACACATATGAAGTCAATCAATAGAAAAGTATGGAAGGTGGTAGAAACCAAAATTGAGATTGGTGATCCAAAGAATCCCACCGCGGTCGAAGAAGTGCTTCTCCAAAACAATAACATTGCTCTAAGTGCCATTCATGATGCAATCGATGAGAGAACATTTGAGCAAATCAAGAATATTGAGATGGCTCATGAGGCTTGGAAGAAGTTAGAATGATCATTTGAGGGCACTCAAGCCATGAAGGGTGTAAAGGCATATATTCTCAAAGAGAAGTTTGTAAGCTTCAAGATGAAGGAGGATGAGAGTGTACCGGTGATGTTCCATAGGCTTTAAGTGCTTGTCAATAATCTCAAAACACTTAGAGAAGAAGTGAAGGACCAGGACTTCTCCCATAAGTTTTTAAGGTGTTTGCCTTCAAGATTTGGCACACTGGTCACTATTCTAGTGAGGAGTGGTTTGGACACCATGACACCAAACCAAGTGTTGGAAGATATAATGACCGATGATACATATAGAGATGATGAGAATGAAGAAAAGAAGGAGAAGAAAGATGAGAAGAAAGATGAAAAGAAGAAGAGTGTGGCATTCAAGGCCACATCATCCAAGGGCAAGGCAAAGCAAGAAACATCAAGTGAAGATGATGGTTATATGATGATGATGATGATGATGATGAGAAGATGACTCTCTTTGTCAAGAAATTTGGCAAATTCATGATGAAGAAAGGGTACCGTGCTAGTAGAAAGAAATCTTCATCCAAGAACAAGGAAGAGTCAAAAGGTGCTTCAAATATGGAAGCAAAGATCATCTTATTGCTCAATGTCCATACAATAGCGACAATGATGATGACAACAAGAAGAACAAGAAGAAGGACAAGAAGAAAAAGAAAGAGAAGAAAAACAAGATGACCTCCAAGAAGAAGAAGGGTGGTTCATATGTGGTCACTTGGGATAGTGATGCTTCCTCAAGTGATGATAATGATAGTGATGATGATAAGACCACCAAGAAGAAGGCACTTGCAAGCATTGCAATCAATGAGAAGCCTTCTCTCTTCGACACTCCATCATGCTTCATGGCTAAGGCCACTAAGGTACAAATTTGTGATGATAAAAGTGACGATGAACATAATAATAAAAATGATAGTGATAGTGATGATGATGATGATAAACCTACTAAATATGAATTATATGACATGCTAGAAGATGCTGAAAAACACTTTGACATTAAGAGAAGGGAATGCAAGAGCTTGAATAAGGAGATAAAAGCCCTTAAGCAAGTCCTTGATGAGCTCAAAGCAACTCATGAGAGGCTAGAGGAAGCCCATGAGAAGCTTGACAAGGCTCACAAAAAGCTTAAAAATGCTCATTCCTCTTTACTTGATGAGCAAAATAAAAAAAGCATGTTGAAACTTGCAATGTAGGCTTGACTTGTGATATAATTGATAGATCATTATCTATGCCTATCATTGTTGCTCCCACTAACCCTTCTTGTAGTACTTCTACTTTCACCTCATCTAGTAGTGATGGTTTCACTTGTGATGCCTCACTAATGGTTGAGAATGAGAACCTCAAGAAGGAGGTCAATAAGCTCACTCACACCTTGGCTAAGGCCTATAGTGGTGAGGACCGCTTGCTTATATGTTTGGGTAGTCAAAGAGCTTCTCTTTATAAAGAGGGATTGGACTATATCCCCAAAAAAGGCAAGGCGATTTTTGCTCCTCACAAGACTAGTTTTATGAAAAACAATGGTCGGTTTTGCACTAGTTGCAAGCAAGTTGGTCATAAAAGAGCATGCATGCAAGAACAAAAGCAAAAATATTAATGTATCCTCTATTAAGCTTGATTCTTTCTATGTGCTTACTAAGGGTATAAATAGTGTGAAGGCTAAGTTTATTGGTAAACCATGAATGGGCTCAAAGAAGAAAGCCATTTGGGTACCAAAAAGCTTAGTGACTAACCTTCAAGGACCCAAGCAAGTT